AAAGCCTTCACACCACAGTCGTCCATCCTAAATACGTATTTTACTACCTCTGTCTTTACACCACAGAGCAGAGAAGGAGCTATGTGCACTCTTTGTCATGGGAAACGATCCAACAAACCGGCGACAACGTCCATTTTTGATATCGATCACGAGACGACGAGCGGGGTGTCATCATCAGCTGAAAACCCATTCGCTCCAGAACGTCCAAAACCTAAACGACAAAAAGATAGGCAATTGATTCTAGGCTTCAGCTATACTGAACGTTCTAAATGACTAACAATTCGAGTTTTCGAGCGATGTGACATGCCAACGTTTTCTATACACCCATCTCTGCATATTACCCACAGTTGATTGCCGCTGCTGTAAGAGTTGTTAACATCCCTACACATAGTTATCAATGTATGTTGTGGCGATATATAGCACAAAGGAAGGATTATTCGACGTAGATTGATTGTGAGCCCGGATACGCCACGCATTTCTCTTGCAGTCATAATCATGTTTCGCATGTGTGTTTATGGGAAATTGAGAGAAAAGCCAAATGAAAAGCTGAGTTATGGAAACCGTGCCCCGGTAGCGCGGTGGCGTAACTTGTGCACTTGTCCTTGTAAGCGAGTAGTGCGGGTTTGAGTCCTGCCTGGGGAAAATTGTTCATAACCCGCGAAACGAGAAAATTCTACGAGAAATGTGCGAAGCACTGAATACGAATCAGCACCCTTTTCTCAACCAAATTTTGCGTCAACTCAACCAATCCTGAGCGATAGGAGTTTGGTTGTCATGGGCGGAACTTACTAGGATTCGATACAATGTCCGCAAATGTGAAACAGCCCCACCCCACATGCCATAGTCCCAACTTTGCCAATCAAAGATGAGCAAGATAGCACCACATTGGGACTACTGAGTTTAAAGACTCAAGAAGTGAAATTGAAAAGGCTGGTCCATAAAACTACGACCAAGGGAGAAAGGTGCAGAATCGGGTTTGCAAACAATAGTTGAAAAGTCGCTCAAAGGAATGAGACTGTGCGCAAGTGACAAAATGGTCTGAGTCCTTTTCGTAACCATGTCTAAATGGACTAAAAAAAAACTATCGACGACTGCTGCTTGAGAAAGAAAAAGCAGCAGCGGTAGCTTGGCGATGTATGTCATCGGCGATATTTTTGGCCCGAATGACGAACAGCGTCATAAAATTGACTAAAAAATGGGACAAAGAAGGTGCGGTACTAGAAAAGATTTGGGACCAGACTTGGAGGAATGTAACAGCGAATGCAATTCACTCACTTTGCATCTATTCTGTTCTGCTTATTCAGCATGACTTTTCCTTTCTGCATTGTTTCCAACACCAACTCACACTCATCTGTTTTCTTGTTGCCGGTGATATTAAAACTGGAAAAAGAATGAAAAAAACCTAAGCAACGAAAGGGCAGAACAAAACCAACTCATTGAAAGAAGCAGCCAGTTGAAATGTACACGTTGTTCTCATAGACGAGTTGCGGACCGATTCCTGGTATCGATGGATCGTACACATGGCTTTTGTTCTCGTACACCTGTACGGAATATTCATCAATGCTAAACTGGAACCTCAAGAGGACTATCGTTTTAACAACTGTTTGGCATATGTCACGACTACCTTAGCAATTGTCTGGCACATACCAGCACCGCATTTTTCATACACTAAGGTGGAGATGACCAATTCGCAGTTTAAGGGACCCAACTAGCGCTTATTGAAAAAAACAGGAGGGTCTAAAAAAATCATATTCATCACTCTCGGTAACCGTACGACCAAACATAAGTTTGTTTCGGATAGCGCGAGTCCAGCTAGTAATCGGTAGCTTGAACGAGCACGACAGAAGATAGCGAACCTGTAATAGGAACGCTGTAATCCGAGGTAACTATGCAGCCACGAAGCAAAACTTACAGCAAAAAGATCGAAAACTGGGCTTGATCAACATGGTAGCCTATATTTAAGAAAATCCCTTTAGCAACTGTGTTGCCCACGAACTGCCACGAAATCGACAGAAAATATAATCATTATAGTAAGGAACCACTTTAGCCCGGGCAATTCAAAATTCCTCTGCGTTACGTGCGACAGTAACAATCCGTCGACTTCCATAAAGATCATCCCAAGCGTAATCGATATGGCTTCGAGCCTTACAGATCGTTCTCAAATGCTGTCCTATTGGGCCCTCCGACTGTTGCTGGTAGAGAACAGGGACCTTAACATATATTAATTTTATTTGACTGGACAACTTTCCTTTTATCTGTTGATCTGAGGACTATATAAACTCAAACACATAAGAATAACTACATCAATGTGATTATCTATCCGGTATTAGTGGTGGGTAGATATCTCGGGCTCGGGGAACGTCAACACAAAAACACCGCTGACGATTATTAGTCATCACCTACAAGCACGCGAACGAAATCTCGGCGAGATCTCATCTGAGTCTCTGAAATTATTGTCGTTAAGATTAAAAACAACTAACAAGCTGGAGGACCAAACAATTATTTCGAAGTTTAAGGAATCTTCCGCGGAAAAAGCTCCGCCTCCATTACCACAGAAAAACGATACCTTAGGCCCTAGCCTCATGAGCATAGCAAAAAGAACGGAACATAAGCGTTAGTTTCGATAATACTAATCCTACACACAAGACAAAATGATCACTCTTTCCGTGGAAGATTCCTTTAAGGTATCGTTTTCTGTGGTAATGAGGGCGGAGCTTTTTCCGTGGAGGATTCCTTTAAAGCGGATGGAAAAACCACAATTCGTCCAGGTCAACACTAGCAAGCACGAAAGGCAACGCCGCATGTTTTGCTTAGCTCCCCCAGCCCAGACTTCTTCAAGACCATAAAGACCTTTTTGGCCGAGACTGACTGATACTACGTTCCATGTGGGTTCCTCGCGTCAGAGGCCTCTCCCAAGCGAGGGAGGGTAATGTGAGGCTCATGAGATGTCAGACCTAATGTATTTCATTATGATTCCTCATCACCTTCCTCAATCTGCTGTCACGTCTGGAAACTGTGACCACATCTCCAAGCTGTCGCACTGGCTAATGCCAACTTGGAATGCCTATTTCTTTATGACGCGGCCGGCGAGCTCGTGGGTTACTAAAGACCATACTACACGCTGATGACAGCTTCCTGACAGCGGACAGCAGAGAGGAACTACAGGACCAAGGATTGGTAGGAATTGCTGGCAGCAAACGGCTCCGGGTGAAGGAACCGTTATTAAGCTCCCCAAGGGTGAAGAGAAAATCACGAATCACCATGAGGAGACCATCAAAAAATGCAAGCACATCTGACACTTGGAAATGATTTAGCCGCAAATGGATGAACGAGACCGAAATAAATGCTTTGTACGTGAAATGAAGGGGCCATTAGTACCCATAGCAGAGTCCAGAGCTTAGTAAAAGCAGTGGATCCTCGGCGACGGTCCAGAACTAAGCTAGGAGAAAAGATCTTGTTAAAGCATACCTCATTGTGATATGGAACGAGCCAATGCGGTCTATCCGAAATGGACAACTCCAATAACGCACGTCACTTCGACGAACACACATTTGCCGGCAATCTTCATAGTTCTCATTCCACACCAGACTGCACTGCGACGCAATGTGCACATGCTCCGAAGCCCGCTGAAATGACAGTTCTGAAAGTCTCAACGAACACCGCCAAAACCGCTTCCTACTTATTGGTCTGTCTTTACAATTTACAATCTGTTTCTATAGTTTTCAATATTTTCTCATATTTCCACAACAACCTTGAAATTACTCCAAACATTTGACAACGGCAGAACTGAAGATTTGCCAAACTCACATCGATAAGATCATGATGACAAACAGAAATCGCATACGATGACTGATTACTGATCACATATCTTGGTGTGAGCAGAACCACCTGGGTGTCTTTGTACCGTCCCGTACCAGCTCTTACTTCCACACCAATATTGTAGTAGCTGAATAGGTAAACGAATTTCTCACTGATTAGATCTTTACAGTCGAATCCATGGAGAAAAACTAACAGAGTGGGCAGGCTCTCGTGCACGACGCTCAACTTCAGCGCCTGTACACCAGGAGTCAGAGCGAACTTTTGGCTATAACGTGGCACATAGTATGGCTCCTTTGCTAGCCCGCGGCCCACACGAACGACACACCTTAAGATAAGCCACTTTCACAATAGAGATTTTCTAATTCATGTACAAATCAAATAGAGCAGCATCCGTAGAACAAATTTTACAGAAATACAAATAATGAGCAAAAAGCAATTGTTAAGAATCTCACTGTTTCGGACAGCCGTCGTCAGCGAAACTGAACATCAATGGATTTCTATCTTTCGCTCGTATAACTCAGAATTTGCCGCGCGATCACTACTAGCAGCTTCTTGTTGGAGAATCAGTGGAAAACCCTGGATCGATTGGCTTAGAAGCTGCACTGCGCATATGGAATGATATAGCATGTGGGATAACTTACGTGACTTATCACTATCAATACAGGCACCATAGAAGAAAGGAATCGAACCACCAGTTCCGATGTGCACGTTACCGTACATATCCAGCGGACGTCCATTGGCGTCATGTAACCTATAATAAATGATTCAATTCACTTTTGAAGGGTGTCGAACGACGTCCCGAAGTCTCACTTGACTGAGTGATTGATCTTGAGGATTCCTCAAATCACTTTACAATTCTCAGTTATTTCAAAAAACCTTTCTCACTCTCCTAAACATATTCCCTCTACCCCTCTAACATTACAGTAACCAGGAAAGGCATTCAGCTTCCCATGGAACTTTGAACCGAGACCCATATCGATATAGCTTGGAATATGACTACAAATATGAAAACCACAACTGGCAAAAATGAGCTCTCCAAGTAAGTTGTGAGCGTTAAGTTGCCTGGAGATAAACCGTTTCATAGACAATCGTGGTACCGACAGCATTCAACCGCCATTAAGTAAAGGCAGTTGCTCTCGAGCCTACACTCTAACGGAAAGAGAATGTACGAACCCCCGGCTGAGAGCGAGAGCACTACCACTACTCCACGCGACTCTGAAAGCCCGGAAGCTAGCACGGTTCATATGTAATGCTTCACTTCCAACCAACTTTGACTGCTCACAACTTCCTTGGCAGGTTCATTTTGCAGTTTTAGTTTCCATATTTGTAATCAGCGTTTGAAGCTCTATCGATATATCTGGGTCTCATCTCAAAGTTCCATGGGAAGTTGAATGCCTTTCCTGGTAAGTACCAGACCTGGCATCCTCTTACTTTAAACATAACCCGAATTATTAGAGGCAAATCCAATGGCTTCATATCATTTGGACGGTTCTCATTTTCAGCCAATGGTCCGCCTTTTCAGCGGCACTATGAAAATGTGGAGTCGGAAATACACATTAATGAGGAAAAAGTCTAGCGGGTTGTTATTGCGCCTCATATCTGCAGATCTGTTGGACCGTTCAAAGCCATGCTTGTAAATAAATCTTTCATGACAATTACACAACACGATTTGATTGCAGTCCTGCGGACAGAACTACCGTCTTTGCCCTTTCAAAGAAATCAGTACCACTTACCGTAACGAAACCAGCTGCCCCTCTCCTATACTTGACTTGGAAATACAGCATTCTTGTACAGTCCTCATGCGATCGGTTACAACACGAATCGACAGTGGTTTGGTTATGTCCACCTGAATGGACACATGACTAACAATAATCATAAACATATTCAAAATCAATGAAAAAAAATTACCGTGGTGATTAGCAATTGTTTACCCGCCGCAATAGGAAAGACGCTATCGAGAATATGTATTTCAACATCAATTGGCAACAAATTCTGAAATTCGAACAGTGACTCTCAACAAAAAGGAAAAAAAGGGGAAAAAAGTAAAACATGAAAACAACAAAAACTTACCTGCATTGTTAGGGGTGCCACTACGAAGATGGAATGACCTGGCAGTGATTCGTGATCAGGATACTGCTCACGACGTACAGCCGTGCACAACCTGAATTTACTCGTTTTCAAACTCTCAACCAACGTTCTGTGTAGGTAATTCCGTTTCACTTTTCCTTTTGTAAAACAAGAAAAAAGTGAAGAAAAAGCATGCATTGCAAAAGTAAGGGGTAGATAGAGGAAAGCAACGGTACATCATGACGCGAAAACGAACCAATAATGATTGAAATTATCCGACGTTCTCAATCGTTGCGTACGATTGAGCGTCTCACCGGCAACTCGCACTTTCGACCACGATACGTCAGCCTAGGTAATTGCATATGTTTGGTACAATACAAAGAAAGAAGAAGAAATAAAGCTACCGCTTCCTGCACTTCGCATCCCACTGGACACATCTGGAATTGACAATGGGCAAACGGCAACGGAACTGGTTTCATCTGCGACGGCTCCACAAGCATCAGCTCT